ATTTTATCGCATTATTTTATTTTCAAAGGGTTGCTTTTGGCGATGTAAATACCCGACGCCTTGTAATTTAATTTCCGCATTTTTATTCTGCAAATTATAACTGCTAGATGTTTGATAATAGGGTTTGCATGACAAGACTGAATGTTTAAATCTTAAAATCAAATTAGATCACCCTTAACATGTGCAAAGATAAAAATAAACTGAAAACGACACACTCGCACATGCGCACTCTTAGGGTACACCCCACTTGGTTGCCTTTGTACACGGTCATTAAGTATAGGTTGTTTTAGAGGTCGTCCTCTTGTCTAAAAGATCATAGTCGCCTCAAATTGGTTGTCTCGAATATTGTTGCCTCAAACAAATGATCTAAGATATTAGGGTTACCGCTAAGGCGTCCTAACATTGCTTTAGTGACCGTACGTCCCTCATTCGAATTGACCCTTAAACTCCAACGACGGTGCTACCCACTCATTAATAGTGGGATATCATTGTCTAAAGGAAATTAGCATATAACGATTCCTTTCTCGAGTAGGTAGATAACTCTTAGATACTTGCTCTTTCAAAACAAAACTCTTCACACTTACACTTTTTGAACAAAGTTTTCAAAACACTTCATTACACTCTTGAGGACAGAAGCAAGAGTTAAATCGAAGTTTCAAACAAAAAAACTTTTTCAAACCCACGAGCACAAAGAAAACAATTTTGAAAACAATTGAGCAAGTACCTAAGAGCCCGTAGATAACTACGGATAGAAAGGGTGCTAATACCTTCCCTTTCTATAATCTACCCCCCGTACTCAGAAATATCTCGAAAAAGGAATTTTCTGTGCTTTTTTCCTTTCCTTGTTGGATAAAATAAAAGTCGGTGGAGACTCTTGCTTACCGCGACATTTTGCAAAAACAAACGCAAAACGCAAACCAGCATTCCAAAAACAGTCAGTTTTTCCCACCGTATCACAAACTGCTTCCTGCAGCAACGTACTTAGCCTCAGCAGTTGACAGAGACACACAATTTTGCTTCTTGTTGAACCAAGATATGAGATTATTTCCCATAAAGAATCATCCTCCTGATGTACTCTTTCTATCATCAGCACTTCCTGCCCAATCAACATCACAAAAACCAGTTAAGGCAGAATTTAATCCATGAGAGTACAACATACAATCACTTGTCCCATTCACATATTTAAGAATCCTCTTCACATAGTTGACATGGCTAATTTTAGGACCAGCTTGACATCTTGCACACACCCCTACAGGAAAGGCAATGTCTGGTCTTCTAGCTGTGAGATATAGAAGACTTCCTATCACGCTTCTGTAGAGACTTTGATCTACACTTACTCCTTTTTCATCTTTAGTCAGCTTCAGATGTGTGGGAGCAGGGGTTCTTTTGTGACTGGAATTCTCCATCCCAAACTTCTTCACTATATTCTTGGCATACTTTCTCTGAGATAAAAATATGGAGTCTTCCATTTGTTTAACTTGCAGACCAAGAAAATAAGTTAATTCACCAACAAGACTCATTTCAAATTCAGACTGCATTTGCTTGACAAAATGTTGAACCATCTCCTTTGACATCCCATAAATTTGAGCAATCATAATCTTCCCCTCTTATTCTTCTTTGACAAAGAGGGTTTTGTCTATGCCACCTTTCCTATATCCATTCTCCCCAAGGAATTTTGTCAGACTCTCATACCAAGCTCTTGGAGCTTGCTTCAATCCATACTGAGCTTTCTTCAGTTTATAAACATGTTTAGGAAAACTTAGATCAACAAATCCTTTTGGTTGTTCAATAAAAACTTCTTCATTCAGGTGCCCATTCAAGAAGTCACTCTTTACATCCATTTGAAACAATTTAAATTTCAAAATGCATGCAACTCCCAACAGTAGTCTGATTGATTCAAGTCTAGACACATGAGTAAAGGTTTCATCAAAGTCCACTCCTTCAATTTGAGTGTATCCTTGTGCAACTAACCTTGCCTTATTTCTAGTGACCACCCCTTTTTCATAAGATTTATTCTTGTATACCCATTTAGTGTCAATCACATTTGTTCCTTCAGGTCTTGGAACCAGATCCCAGACTTCATTCCTACTGAATTTTTCCAGCTCCTCTTACATAACATTAATCCAGAACTCATCAGTTAGGGCCTCTTTGACATTCTTAAGCTCAATTTTGATACAAAGCAAGAGTTTGAAATCCCCTCTCTTGATCTGGTAACAACTCCTTTATTTGGATCTCCTATGATAAGATTCTTAGGATGATCTTTCTGAGTTCTAATTGAAGGTCCTTTATTGAGGTGACTAGACTGGGGATATTCTTGAGGATGATTAGAATCAGTACTTGTGTCATTTGATTCGGTTGGACTATCAGGCAGCGATGTTCCAACATCTTCTGAGACATTTTCTTCAACGTTCCATCCTCTATTATCAATAGTAACATTTATTGACTCCATCATAACTTTGGTTCTAGAGTTAAAAACTTTGTATGCTCTGCTGTTTGTAGAGTAACCCAGGAATAATCCTTCATCACTCTTGGAATCCATCTTCCTCCTTTGTTCATGATCAGCTAAGATGTAACATTTACTTCCAAAAACATGAAAGTATTTAACAGTTGGTTTTCTTCCCCTCCACATTTCATACAAAGTAGATGAATGTGTCTTTCCTTAGAGTGACTCTGTTATAGATATAGCACGCAATATTCATTGCTTCAGCCCAAAAATGGTAGGGTAGCTTCTTAGCATGAACCATGGCTCTGGAAGATTCTTGGAGAGTTCTATTCTTGAGTTCTACAATCTCATTCTGTTGAGGAGTAATGGGAGACGAGAATCCATGGATGATTCCTTCAGAGGAGCAAAACTCATCAAATTTGTTGTTCTCAAATTCATTTCCATGATCACTTCTTATTCTTATGACATGGCTTTCCTTTTCCCTTTGAAGTTTTTGACAAAGATCTTTGAACACTTTAAAAGTTTCTGATTTTTCTCTAATAAAACTTATCCATGTGTATCTAGAAAGATCATCTACACCAACATAGGCATATTTTTTACCACAATGACTTTCAACCTGCATAGGTCTCATCAAGTCCATGTGAAGAAGTTCCAAAACTTTTGATGTAGTAAGATGTTGAATCTTCTGATGTGACATCTTAGTCTTCTTTCCAATTTGACAATCACCACATATCCTTCCTTCTTCTATCTTGAGCTTAGGAATCCCTCTCACCGATTCTTCTTCATAGTGTTCTTTATATAGGAATTTGATCTAAGAGATCCGTTGGAGACATGTGTGATATTTCTGGAAGGTTGATAATTTGATGTTAATATCCTTTCCAAAAATAAAGATTTTGTTTTCAGCCATAATGTTTCATCCGTTACAATCTTGATCTTGTAATGATTATCATTTAATGTGATGTTGGATTTATAATTCATCAGAGTATCTTGAGCTTAAGTGCCGAGTCTTAGAACTTCATAATAGATGAGTGTGTTGAGACTTCCTTTGTTCTTTCAAAACTTCACTTATCAGAGTATAGCTTGCAACTTGGGACTTCAGAAGTTTGACTGTCAGCATCAGAACTTCTCTTTCTCGCATGTTGTTTTAGCTTCGCTTCAGAGCTTTTTATATGTTCTTCTTCTTCAGAGCTTCATATGTGATTTTTCACGTCATTAACTTTCTTGCCTTCATCAGAGCTTCTATGTAAATTTAATCAAATTATTAGAATGCATGATTGTCCTTCACAATAATTATGTATTTGTTATCATCAAAACTAATAACTGGATGTAGAACAAACTATATTCTAACAAAGATAACTTATTTGATTATACGTCATCATTAGATGTTAATGAATAATTGTAAGCAAAGACTTCACCGAACACCGTGTGATCTTAGGTGTAGTCATAATTGAAATGACTTCATATTTAATCTCATAAAGAACATATTGATCTCACATACCTACCTTCTTGATAGATAAGAACTTCACATATTTATATTTGACATAAAATATTATCATCAAAATCAACAAGATTATTTAACGGTTGTAGACAGTTCTAGCTACATCCACATAGATCTGAAATATTGTAAATTTTGTAATTGTTTCTTGTAACTTCAAATATTAAGTATATCCAAATCAACCGCATATGGTTTAAAATTATGTTTAGATTTTCATGTTAGCTTTAAATATTGCTGTTAATGATATAATGCATATGGTTTGGTTTAGTTGTACACTATTTTTCATAATTCAATTAGTTAACTAGTTTTATCTAGATATCGGTTTAGGATTAAACTTAAGTCAATTTAGATTTACTAATTTGGATTGAAATAAGTTTTAATCGATTTATTGCTGAATTATATTCTAGGTTGTTGTGTTGCAACAGTGTTTAACTTCACTCATTAGACAAACTTTTTGAAAATTGCTTTCGAAAATAACTGATTTTGGATTTAGTAAGCCTCCTCCCCTCTCGATTTATCTAATCATATTAGACCAACAATATTGTCTGGTATGATGTAGAAAAAGGCACTGTAGTTCACGACATTGAGCAACAGATTTTCAAATAAGCTCAAAATTCCTAGAGGCATAAGAGGCTGAGAAAGAGGAGTTCTGCAACAGATTTTCAGATAAGCTCAAAAATCCTAGAGGCATAAGAGTTTGAGAAAGAGGAGTAGGTCGCATGAGTCACAATATGATGTATTGTATATTACCTATTTTATTGAGTATTTTAAAATTATGTATAATTATGGATAAATTGATATGACATATTTTGTTGGATATTTTTAGTTAATATTACTAAACAATAAACTCTTAACCATACTAGTCGAAATAAACTCTAACCTAGACGCAATTTACTATATAACAAGAGACTCCCAATTATTTTTAGTATCAATGTCAATGTTAGACTGTATGATTTGAAGAATAAACCGGAACAAATGAATGGTTGTCTCAACTACAACGACACATGGCAGTAAGTGTTGAGTATCTTTCTTCGCCAATCGACTTATATGGATGTGTTCGAGTCAACCACTCTTACCCTCCTTCAAACTAACCCGTTGCAAATGATGTTCTGCATCCAATGCTGCCATACACCCTGCACCAATAATTTGATTTTCATTATCCTTTGGGAGAAAAAAGATTTTGCTGCATAAATCTGATTCCAATTACATCAAGCGTATTATAACTAATTCTTGATACTTTAAAGTACAATATCCAACAAACATTGTCAAAACAACAAAACAGACATGCATATTCTCGCGAAATACTGTTATTATACGATCTTTTTTTCCTGAAAACCCGTTCAAGACCACACCTTCAAGATAAGGTCAAACTTTTACATGAGAAGGTACACAACATAAATAAGTGATCAAAGTGGAGAATTATCTTCATAAAGAGTCAAACAAATTTTCCATTTGTAATACATAAGCAATGGCCAAATGAAGAATCAAGCCAGAAAACATGAAGAAAAATTAAGATAAGCTACTTTTCATACATATATAATCTAGGTAGATCCCTTAATGTGTGCCTCTTGTTCCCCAAACAAATGAAAATGTGATGAAATGTCTTAGAATATGTGGGTTGGGAATTTAACTCATTCCTACAAAACTAGCTTGTAAAGTGAGGATTGTCCCCACTTTTAAACACAACACATGTCATATCTTTAAGCATTGTAGGACTAAAGCCACGCCTTCAATGCAATATAGAGTTGAAGGCTGCAATGAAGACAAGCCAAATGCCACAATTAGATGACTAGTGGCGGACAACAATGAAGGCGGAATTTCCAACAAGTAAAGCAACAAATGAGTAGCAAAATGAAAACTTCAAGATCCACAAAAGTACTACAAATCATAATATCAGTTATCGCTTATCATCAAAATGAGAATTTGGGGCTAACCAAATTCTAACGACACTTCACGAATAATTTTAACATTGCCGTTAAGCGTTATATCTATATACGTCCAGATAGGTTTGAAGAAACTGAATAACTATACTACATATAAATGAGAAGAGTACTTTCTCCGAGTTACTCTTGTAATATGCCTAGTTTACTTCTGAAAAAAACAGAAATCTATGTAGAGGAACAATGATTTGTAAGTTCTAATACAAAGTATGCTTGGCCAAAATATAATCATCTTTAGCAGATGAAACTCTCCAAGAACTAATAAAAAGTCATAAAACTAGGATTATACTGGAAATCAAGGTTTTAAAAATCTGCAATCACGATTGTGGGTTTTACATCAAGATTTTTTATGTCTCCATGACAATAACACAACAGTAATTGTGCCCACATAAGTCACATATTTAACTGTGATTTTCCACCATATCAAACATCGTGATTTAACACCATGGGTCCAACACAAGGGATCAGAAACTATGCTAAGCAATATGCACCATGTAATTCTACCAAATGTTTTTGATAAATAAAAAAGGAACACATTGAAAATAAGGGGTTCAAAGAAAAGACGATTTTCAAAACAAGATTGTTTCAAAGCCATGTATCATTTTAACCTATAGTATGTTTTTTTATTGATAAACAACAACACAACCGCAATTGAAACCACAACGGACGCATTTGACGGCAATTCTCTACAATATCAAGGATTGCAAATCGACAGTTACCACGACCGATATTTAAAACCTAGTATAGTAAATACTTACTGCATTACTTTAATTTCTTCAAAAGTGAAGTATAATGAAATCCACTTAGAAAACACTCATTTCCCTAAACCCTATAAACCCTATATATCAGATAAGATCAATTAAACCCTAAATCCTAAATCTCAGATAAGATCAATCTAACAATGTTTTATCAAATGAAAATAATCAAGAAACAAAAGAAAATTACCAGTTCCAGCTGCAGTAATAGCTTGTCTATACTTCTTATCCTGAACATCACCAGCAGCAAAAACTCCATCAACACTAGTCACCGTAGTACCCGGCTTTGTCGCAATGTAACCATCACAATCCAATTCAACTTGACCATCCAAAAACTTCGTAGCCGGTTCGTGCCCAATCGCAAAGAACAAACCCGAAACCTTCAAATCAAACACATCACCATTCACCAAATTCTTCACCTTGACTCCCCCAAGAACCCTCCCCTTATCATCTCCATAAGCTCCAACAACCACTGAATTCCACAACACCTCAACCTTTGGATTCTTCATCACCTTACTTTGCATCATTTTACTAGCCCTAAATTCATCCCTCCTATGAATTATATACACTTTCGAACCGAATTTGCTGAGGAATGTAGCTTCCTCCATAGCGGTATCCCCGCCACCGACAACCACTAAGGGTTTATTTCGGAATATCGGAGCTGCACCGTCACAAACGGCACATGCCGATATTCCGCGGTTCCAGTATCCATCAGGACCGTCGCCGGAGCCGTTGAAAACTAACTTTTTCGCGACGGCTCCAGTGGCGATCACGACGGATTCGGCCTCCACGGTGGTCGAATCAGTTACAACTTTAAACGGCCTTTTAGAGAAATCTACCTTTGTAACTGTTTCGGTGATGATTTCAGTGCCTAACCGCAGCGATTGTTTACGGCAGCTGTCCATGAGTTCGGCACCGAGGATGCCATCCGGAAATCCCGGGAAATTCTCGACGTCGGTTGTGGTAGTGAGCTGACCACCCGGAGCAGTATCGTTGGCCATCCAGCCTTCGAATAGGATCGGCTTGAGTTCGGCTCGAGCGGCGTAAATGGCGGCTGTGTGAGCCGCTGGGCCGCTTCCGATTATGCATAGCTTTGTTTTCAGTAACCTGCAGCCATTTGTTTGGTCGGAAGAAGAATAGTAGGAAGAGTCAGTGTCATCGGAAGAAGAGGTGGAGGTAGCGGCGGAGGAGGAAGATGTGGCGGCGATGGTGGCGGTAGCGGCGAGTCCTATGCCTATGAAGTTGCGGGCTCTGGTAAAGAACTTGGTTGCGAAAATTCCCATTTTCGAAGTTTCTTATATTTTTGTTGTTATAAATTTTAAATTGAAAAGGGTAACAGTATTAGAAAAGTTGAAAGGTATGTTAATTTTGTGCTTTGTTTTGTTGTAGAGCAAAGAAGCTCTCATGGCGTAAACCTTGTAATTCTTCTTTGCTTTGTTCTCTTTTTTTATTTGTTAGTTGGTTAAGAATTAAAAATGAGTTGAATAGTTTTTTTTTTATCGAAAATAAATACTTTATCTAATCTTTAATATAAGAAAAAATTACTTTTGAAATCCATCAAGAAACAATATACATATAATTCACACGAGTACATTGATTTTTGAGTAAACCTAAAAAATAACTTTTTTTTATATAAAGGACTAGTAGTATTTTAATGAGTAAGTGGAGATTTGTTATTATTGTTTAACAAATTCTAAATAGGTATTTGAGTGTCTTTTTATTTATAACTATTGACTAAAGAGTTGTAATGTATTGAGATTTCAAAGAATTCTAAAAAAAATGTTATAAGAGTTTTGTTTGTGATATATAATGTGAATTAATAGTTTGATATTCAATTAAAACAATTAAATAATATTATTATATATTTTATTAATTAAATTTGTTAAATCTCTTAAAAAAATTTGAAACTAAAATTAAAGTTAATTTAATAATTATCTTATTAATTAAAGTTGTTAAATTTCTGTAAAAAAAATTGGAATCAAAATTAAAGTTAGTTTAATAATTATCATATTAATTAAAGTTGTTAACTCTATTAAAAAAAAATTAGAACTAAAATTAAGATTAATTTAGAAATTATTAATTTTAATTAATTTATCTATTATTAATTAAAACCACTCATTCTCATTATTTGAAGATTTATTTTTTATTTTATTTATTATTAATTAAAACCACTCATTCCCATACAATAAAACTAATAGATTCTATATGAATCTTTATTCAGTTCTACAACAACCTTTATTCAGTTCTACCGAAGTCATCAGTGGAGAAGAAATTCTTTCTTTTTGCTCATGATGGATTTCCAATCCCAACAACACCACACACTATGAATCTTTATTTGCAACTTAAAAACTTCACAAAAATTAACAACAAACAAATATCCTCTTTGATAAATTTTACACTCCATAAGAATTAAGAAGCAGCCAAATCATGGTAATCTTGCTAATTATGGAAGATGAATTCAGATGCAATCGAAAATTGTGAAATGGTATAATTTGAACGCTAAAACTTAGTTTTGCAAAATTTTCAAAATTATTATTTTATGATCATATGATGGAAGTGAGAGAGATAGAGAGAGACAGAGAGAGAGGGATGATTTATATATGTGCGTGAGATTAAGCACTAAAAATGAGTAAAACCACCATTTTGATTTGATTCATGTGTAGTGAATATTGTACATCCGAGGCCCATGTCTCGGATTCAACTAAATCGTTTCGCCCTTAACAGGCCTCGCGTTTGAGGGACTTATGTACATCTGAGGCCTATGTCCCAGATGATCGGGGGAACATCTCGCCTCTTAATTAGGTCCCGCCCTCACAAGGGAACGACCAATCGAAGAGGTCTCTCCAATAAAACCATGAGACAACCTAACATGTGATTGAATGTTCATCATGATCTCCTCTCGATAATGAGACAAGAACAATGAAGTATCATGAAGCACCATAAAGACTAAGATCCTTCCATAATGAGCCTTAGACTATAAGAGAAGTGGTAGGGGCGAGGACAAAAGGGAACAAAATAAAACACCTAAAAATACACCGAGGCTTCTTCCGACCAGCTTCAGGGAGGTCATCACATTGTTCTTCAGGAACAGTTTGTTACCCATCATGGGGCCTGGTAAAACTCTTCCAGACCGCACAAAATTGCTAATAGATGGACTAGAAGCAGGGCAAACAATAACGGTCAGGAAGCCCAAGTCATGGAACAACTAGCTTCCATTGTTGAGCTCTTACGCCAAGAGAACGAACATTTGCAAAACACTGTGAATGATATGTAACATCAATATCCCCAGCCTCAACAAGACAAGGAAGGCACGTACGATCCGATCGAAACTTATCATGTGTTTGAGAAGATCTAGAATGATGAGGTCCCGGAGAACTTCAAACTCCCTCAACTCTCGTGATTCAACAGGAGACACGACCCCCAAGAACATATCCTAACGGTCAACACCCAGATGGCAATCATAGGAGCCAGTGAATCAAGAAAATGCAAACTGATGGTTGGGACCTTAAAGGAGTCCACCCTTCATTGGTACATGGGGTTACTGAAGCATTTAGTGACAAGCTACCAAGACCTGGCCAAAAAACTGATACACTAGTTCTTGGCTATTAAGCACTGAAAGGTCTCGACCACTAGCCTTTTTAATGTACGCCAAGGACAAGACGAATCTCATAGAGAGTATGCGTCTTGTTTCAACAAGGAGACTATCAAGGTGTCACACCCTAACCAAGAGATGTTTGTAGGGGCCTTTTGAAATGGTTTAAGGGCCAATCAATTCAATGAATCACTGGCCCAGAAGCCGATTACATCGATGGAGGACATCACCACTAGAGCAAAATGTTATATTCGAGGAAAAGAAAGCAACATAGAAAAGAAGATGAGATACACTAAAGATAAGGGTCCAAATATCCGATCTAATGGACCGGGATCCAAAAAACCCAAGGAGCCGCCATTCAGAAGCCCCCCCGGATGGGCCGGTTCAACAGAAGCCATTGGGGAACTGTAGACAGCACTGGACTCTTTCTTAAACGACTTTTTCTCGGTGCTCGATGAGGCACCCTTCTGTATCTTCCCAGCCTTAATACCAGCTTCAATCCTCTCACCAGTCAAAATAAGATCTATAAACCCAGCTGAAGATCTTCCAATCAGATGGTTAAAGAATGGACCAGACAGGGTCCCCAAAAACATGTCAATAAGCTCACGATCAGCCAAAGGTGGTTGCACCCTTCCGGCAAGGTCTCTCTATTTCTGAGCATACTCTTTAAATCCTTCACCTGTTCCTATTGACATACCCTGGAGTTGGGTACGCGTAGGAGCGAGGTCGGAGTTGTACTGATACTGCCTGTAAAATGCAGTAGCCAAATCTTCCCAGCTGCAGATACTGGCTCCGTCCAACTGATAGAACCACTCAAGCTGAGTCCCTGAGAGACTGTCTTGAAAGAAATGGATCCACAAGTTCTTATCAGCAGTGTAAGGCTGGATCTTCCTCACATATGACCGGAGGTGCAGCTTCGGACATGAAACTCCATCATACTTGGCAAAGGCAGGTGCCTTGAACTTATGGGGAATCACCACCCCAGATGATAGACCCAAATCTCTGAAGTCCAGACCAGGCACCTTCTGTATTTCCATAGCACTCAAACGGTCTTCCAACTGTTTGTACTTATCCTCAGCAGGAGGATACTGTTCTTCATTATAGTCTGTCTCGTTGTCGGAGACCATAGGGCTAGGAGCCCTCCTTTCTTGTGGACTATCTTTCCCTTCAGATGAGGTGGTCAGATCAACTTCATTCTGCAGCCTGTTTCCAAACCTGCGTCCAGTATTGAACAGGATGGTCCTCTTCTTCTTCTTCTTCTCTTTCAGAATCAAGGTCTTCAGGTCCTGCTGACCCTTAGCTAGATTCATGAACAACTCTTGAAATTGGGCATTCTGGGCCTGGAGGGCCTTGATAGCTTGCTCAGTTGAAGGTTCAGTAGACATGATGATTGCTGAAATAAACAGCGAAGAAGATAAGAGACATGTAATGGGGTACCTGTTTATGAAGTGCATGGGATGAAATGCGTATGATTTATGATTTCAAAGACAATCGGGATTCAAATTTGTAAACAAGAAAGGAAACACACTTTATTAGATTTAAACTCCAAAATTTAAATTGTTCAACAAATTGCCTTAGGCGTTACAAGAATGGAAATACTAAAAAGTAAATAAAAACTGTAAAAGAAATCATCAAAGGTCCATCAATGCTCCCATGGTCTCTTCTTCTCAGTGCGGACATAATCATTCAGGATCCGCTCGTTCTCCAGTTGCCTAGTCAACTTCTGGATCTTCTTCTCCTGTTCATTGAACCTCTCTCGGTAGGAATCCCGTTCATCCCTCAACTGCATCCAAGACCTCTTCAGTGTCCCAATATCAGTGGGCATATACGGGTGGAGAATAGTTAGAAGAACCCCCTCCTCATTAGCAACTTCAAGAGTAACAGGCCTGACAGCTTCATATGGCATACCTAGCTTCTGGGCACGGATGCAGACCCATCTGAGATATGGCTCCATTGGCAGGGAAGTCTTTGGTCCCAACTCATGTGGGTCAGATTGGTGAACTCTGTCCCAAGCCCTTATGAATCTACGACGCAGCTCGTCGCTATCTCCCTGAAAATCAAAGATGATATGAGGCATTAACATCTCATGAGGCCCTTCTCTTCTGGCTCTTCCAAACTGACGAAGAGCTAAACATGGGTTGTAAGAAATCCCTACATGGGTTCCGATCAATGGAACATTAGGATACTCTCCACAGCGATCAATAACAGTCACCTCATCCATACCTTTGAGAGTCCAGATAATGTCATTATTAGAAAGAGACATCACCTTATAAGCCCAGCCCATTCCTTCTTTGTTCTTTAGTACGGACTTAGGGAGGTGTGAAATAAACCACCTCGACAATAAAGGAGCACAGCACATCAAAGTTCCCCGTTTTCGGGTAGTACGAGCATAGAGTTGATGAAGGATATCGCCCAAGAGAGTGGGTACCGAATTCTGAGAGATGAAGATCTTTATGGCATTAATATCAACAAAAGTTTCAGGATTCAGAAACAATACCAGACCATAAATTAAGAGAGCCAGAATATCCTCGTACGCCTTGAAGTCTAAGCTGTCCCAGAAGTAATTAGCTTTGTTAACCAAAAACTTAGTCAGAAAACCCTTAGCTCCACTTTTAGTCTCCCAGTTAGCCATTACCTCCTCCTTGGTCAAGTGAAGGGCTGCAGCAATTTCTTCGGGCTTAAGAGTCTTTT